AAACTATCACATAATCCACAATAAAACATTTAAGAAAAAAAAAAAAAAAACTCAACACCCACCCACCTGTTCATGTCATCTATCTGTCTTGATATCCATCCACCCACTTATCTAATCTGTTGATCACCCTGTCTATCCAGGCTCTACGTTAATCAATCTCATCCTGTAGGGACTGAGAACTCTCTTTATGGAAAGTTACTTTCATAATTTTTTTTTCACTCTGGTACCGTAGTGGTTACGAATCGGGCTGCGAACCGCAAGGTCAGCAGTTCGAAACTATCAGCTGTTCCATGGGAGAAAGATGAGGCTTTCTGCTCCTGTAAAGATGTACAGCCTCAGAAACCCTGTTCAGGGTCGCTATGAGTTGGAACCGACTCCACAGCACATAACAACAACAACAATAAGAAATGTATGTGTTGTAAAACTATCAGCTGACAAGGGGAAATAGATAAGACGTGCACGACAGGGAATGAAAAGTTAGATGTTGGCTTTAGGAAAAGGAAGGGCAAATGAGACCTAAGTTAGAATTAAGTGGAGAAAGACAACTAAGATTTCAGGCCAATCATTGCAGGAGCTTGGCTAGGAGTGAGATATTTGCAAATGTCAAAAGATACTGGGTTGGTGTAAACACACACACACATACCACACACATTTTCTGTCATACTTAATACTTTATCTTGGGCTTGCCTACAACACAGCTCCCATTTTACCAGTGATGAAGAACAAGCAGTAGACGTGAACTGTGGCAATAATGTTTCTGAAAGTTGAATCTCTTCAGCATGTCACAGAGATTCTGTAATTGGAGGGGTCACTGCCCGTGCTAGCACTGTAACATGTGTATTAATCATTTCCTATTTCTATCATACAGTCAGGATTGCTTTATATTTGCTATATAGTCTTACTTAAAAATAGTACAAGCAGTTAATCACTGCTCTAGTAGCTGAAAGGTTGGTGATGTGAGTCCTGGTGTAGTGTTGTAGGGTAAGCACTGGACTGTTACACGCAAGGTTGGAGGTTCAAACCCACTAGCCATTACTTGGCAGCCCTATACAGGGTTGCTATGAGTCAGAACTGACTTGACAACATTTAACAATGACAGCACCACAGGCGCTTTGGAAGCCAAGTCTGGTGGTGAACCGTTTCCAAAAGGTCAAAGCCTTGAAACCTCCAGAGCAGTTAGTTGTTCTCTGTGCACTTGGACTCACTGTGACTTGGAATCTAGTTGATTCAATGGTAACTAACAACTGATTTAAATTTTTTTGCTTGTTAGGTAATTGAAAGAAATGTGTAGCATTAGAAGGATAGGCCAAGTTTGAAATAAATTCTACTCTTCAAAATACAAATTTCGTTTCTTGAAAATAACTGCACTACTCTACAATGATCAACTATTGCCTTTTATCTTAGGCAGGAAAAGTTACTCCAGTTGGATACAGAGTTGCAAGTTGCTTAACTGAAAAACTTCCCCGGGTAAGTATTTTCATTAAGCGTGTGAATGTTAAGATAGTAAACCATAAAAATTTTCCTTATGAAAACTGTTTAAATTTATAACATGTCCAATTTGGATTTAGTGCATTTTGAGTCCTTCTGTTACTTTTGTTTAAGGGAGTATAAATGCCAAACTTAGAATTTTCCAGCTCTACAAAAAAGTGATTAAATTTCTTTCAGCAGGAAATAGTCCTTGAGGCATGCTTTCTAACCTGGAAACTTCCTGGTGATTTTCTAAATAAAGCTTTTAAAATATGCTGTTGATTTCCACAAAAAAATGCATTTTAGGAAACTATTATTAGGAGCTATAGTGCCCCACGCAATTACCACACACATACAATTAAGGGTTTTTCTTGATTGTTATAGATCAGTCCTGTTAATATTTTTAGAACTGTTATTCATCTAAGTAATCTTCTAACAATTTTCTTGCCACGTTGTAGCTCATTACTCCACCTGAAGCAAAAAAGTTTTTCAACTTCAGATATCCACCTGCTGGAGTGGAAAGAGTATTTTATGGCAGAGCAAATGATCCGCAAATTGCACCTAATTTGACACATGGCATAACATCTACAAGCTCAATATCGGTAACTTCTTTTTCTTTTACTCCCTCCCCCTGTACATGATTAATTTGCCAAGGTGAAAATGCGCAAATGAGATGATGGTGAGTCTCATCTCCTTCCCACCTTTCTCTTTAATAGTCTTTCCTCCATTTGTCTTCTAAAAATGTCAGTCTTGAGTAGCGAAAAATATCCAAGGAGAAAAGTGTAATGAGCCAATGTTTGAAATTACAAACTGTGTATTTTCCCTACCTAGCATAGCAGTTAGGAGTTGTACTACTAACCTCAAGGTCAGCAGTTTGAAACTGCCGGTGGTTCTGTTAGAGAAAGATGAGGCTTTCTGCTCCCATAAAGATCTACAGCCTCAGAAACCCTATACAGGGTCACTATGAGTTGAAACTGACTCCATGGCACACAATCACCACCACCACCAAGATAACAGACAACTTGCATTCCGTTTTCTCACAGTATGGAGAGATGATGTCAGGCTATGTTAGACATCAAAGAAGACTCTTACCTAAAGAATACTAAGTGTGGTTATCTGTATATACTTGTAATGGTATAGTCAGGGTACTATCTACTATTGATTGCATGAAAAATCTAGATTCAGAAAACCCTATCTATATATTTGGAGTGAATCTGTGGAAACCAAGTGGTTCTTACTCTTGTTATTCTGACTTTTCTGGGTTGAGTAACCTAAGATAGCCTATCATAAACTTTGAACCTATTGAAAGCACATGTTTAGGTTGATGGATGTATAAGTTTCATAGCCCCAGTGCTGACATATCATTTTGGGGTGAGAAAAGGTCACTATACTGATGAAATATTTCCCCACAATCATATATTCTTCTCTCCTTGGTTTCTTACTGGGGTTACAGTTTTCAGAGTCTTATATTTTTGATGTTGTTTTTAAATGTATGCTTTTTATGATTTCTTTAGGCAAGTACATTGATAAATCCACCACCTATCACCACATTTCAACAAAAATTTAAAGATAAAAAAGAATCTATATATTTTAGCAATCAACGAGCTCCATTAGGAAAATGTCATGATCAAACACCAGGATTACCTAAAGGAATGGATATAATCAATACGACCTTTGGGAGAAAAATCATCAGAGGTAGTAAAAATATAAGGGGTGGTGAGTGGGGGTGGTAAAGAAAATCTTTTTGGAAAATGGAATTAAATATTCTACTGGTATAGTATTTGGAGAGTTCTGTAGACAACTGTAAACAATAATTCAAGAATAAAAGTTAGAATCATGGCAAGACAGTTAAGAATCAGAACCCTTAGAGTTTATGTGTTTCCAGATGGTAAAAACTATGCAGCACAAATTGAGTATACAGGAGATGGCATATATATTGGAGAAACTCAGAACAATGATTTTGGGGCTAACTGTGAGGATTTCAGTTCCTTCCTGGTCATCCACTATATGTTTTATTTCTACCAAAGCTTCTTTTTTCTGTTTTTTTTTATTTTTTTATTTTAAGGTTTTTATTGTGGATTGAGTGAAAGTTTACAGGGCAGATCATCAATTTTACATTCAACAAATCATATACCTTGTTTCATTACAATGATTATAATCCCCTCCATGTACCATCACTTAACAGTATTTCTCTCTATTCATTTTAGCTTTTTTTAAAAAAAACAAAAAGCAAAACAAAACCACTCAGGCATATATAATAATTTACACCTCTAAAGGGCACATTTTGCAAGCCAGCCTCCTGGCCACCAGCTCTTATTCCCATTCTTTCCATGAATCTAGAGTCCTCAGCCACTCCCCCTCTGCATGCCCCCATCTCTGCCTCTGTCTCTGGTGTCACTGCCTCTCTGGATAAGGTCCCGCATTCTGCTTGTGCTCTTCTCTCTTGATGGTCCTAGGGTCCTTTTGTTTAAAAACTTCTACCTTTTTTACAATTGTGACAGTCACGATTAGTCATGATGACAATTATTCGCTATTGAATCATAAGAAGCTTATCCTCATCTCTTTTCATGAGATCCATCTAGACAAGATGTAAACTACTCAGTGGGGACTCTTTCTTCCCCCCTACACTCTTAAACTATACTCCCTCTTGAAACTTTGTAAGCCAATCACTTCGTGCCTTTATTGCCCCCTCATTTTAGGTAGCCAATGTCTAAGTTGCCCGTTCCTATCTACCCTGTATACAGAGGGAGTAGCATTGATCCTTGATGTGAAGACTCCTTTCTTTTCTGTTGGTATTTAGAGTTACTACCTCCATGAGTATAGGTCAGGTTCATCAAATTGTAGCAATTTACCCTTGTTTCCTTTATAAAAAAAAAAATGTCTTTGGTAATCTTTCTCTAGTTGAGTTCTGATTATCTAGCCATAGAGGCCAGGTCAAATGGGTACTGTCTGCAAGTTTGGGTGTTCTTGTGCATTTCCCCTCATTTCATATCAGCTGGACGCTTCACTCTCAGCTCTAGCTGTCTGTAGCTATGTCCTTGTCTATAGGCTCAAGTGTCTCCAGGTTTCACCACACTTTGGAACAACAATCCCTTCTTCTTTTCTCTCTTATCTTCAGGTCAATGGGAGTCAGGATTTAATTTTCAGCCTATTTCCTTTTTAGTCTGCCTGTTCAGGCCTTTTACCTCGTGATAAATAGTTCAGGGACAGCTATGGCCATTTTGCACTGCCGTTTAGTTTTAAGTGGAAACTTTCACTTTAAATTTGTAACAGATCTGAGCGCATGTGTAGTAGAACCATCGGGGGTAGGAGTAGGGTGTCCAGCTGCTCAGGCACCCTGTAATCACCAGAATGGAGGTGCACAAGACAGCGAAAGATTTATGAACAGATACAAAAAAAAAAAAAAATGCTCAGACCTTTATCTCCATGGTTCTGTCAGATATCCATGGCTGCTGTGGTCCTTTCTGCACTCCCCCCCCCCCCCCCCCCCCCCGGCTTGGTCTTGCACAAGATGGCAGCCTCTGTAGCAGCTGAGCATCCTGAACTAGAAAGCAATGGATTTCCTGATTCTGCTCTACATTTTCCTAGCTGTAAGCCTTCCATGCTTCTAAATATTCCATTGTATGTGGTTCAGAGTTCTGGCACCATCCCCTGAGACTGCTTGGTCAGGTATTCTGTGTTGTTGCTAACGGAGCTCCTCACAGCACTTCTGCCCGATCCGCCATCTTGTTTGTTCTCTCTACCTGAGCTTCTTATGTGCTCATACCTCTTAACTGTGTTTCATAAAGTAAATCCTAGGACAAGTAAGTTTGGTAAATGCTACATACCACACTTCACCTATGGAAATCCAGAATACATGAATATTATTCAAACACAAGGCAATGTATATGGCAGACTTCCAGTGCCATTTGGCGGGGTAGTAGAACACATCTTCCAACAAAGAACAGTCTATAACAGAATTACTCACCATCCTTTCTTCTGAAGTCCCATCTTGTTGGGCACCTTCCTTTACACTAACTTCATATTTCTCTTCTGGTGAGGTGCTGTAGGATGAACACTGGACCACAGGGTTGGTTTGAACTTTAAGGTCGGCAGTTCAAGATCTCTATTTGCTCTTCAGAAATCCTATGAGTCAAAATGAATCTCTATGAGTACAAACCGACCCTGTGGCATTTAACAGTAACAACATCTTGTCCACAGACTCCTGGTGTGGCATTATAGGATAAACACTGAGCTGCTAACTTCAAGGTTGGTGGTTCAAACCCACCAGCTGCTCCTTGGGAACCCTATACAGGGTTGCTATGAGTCAGAGCCAACTCAACAGCTTTTAACAACAACAACATCTTATTCACAGGAACCAAAATATGAACTTGAATACATCTCACCTGAATGTAGAGTTCATTTCAAGAATAGATTTGATGCGTTAGACACTAATGACCAAAGATCAGAAGAATTCTGGGATGACATCAAGAATATCATATAGGAAGAAAGCAAAAGGTCATTAAAAAGATGGAAAGAAAGAAAAGGCCAAAATGGATGTGAGAAGAGACTCTGAAACTTACTCTTGACCATTATTATTGTTAAGTGCCGTTGAATCAGTTCTGACTCATAGCAAACACATAGAGGGCTTCTGAGGAGCTGCTGGTGAGCTTAAATTGCTAACCTTGTAGTTCAAACCAACTTTGCAGTACAGTGCATTAACCCACAGTGCCACACCAGAACTCCACTCTTTTTTTTTAATGTTTTATTATGAATTATGTGATAGTTTACATGGAAGAATGTTACCTTTACATTCATGCTATCACATATTGTTACATTGCCATGGTTACAATCCCCTCCATGCATCATCAAGCAACTAAATGGTCACCCCGCAAGCTTACCCCCTGGTCATTAGCACACAGCTCCTTTCCCTCTCTGGGTCTAGAGTTCCCAGGCACTCCATCTCTCAACGTCATTGTCTCTGCCTCCATCTTTGGCATCACTGTTTCTCTGGGTAGGGTCCCACACTCCTCTCTTCTCCCTTGATGGTCCTAGGAACCTCCATTCCTGGACTGCAAAGTCAACCACTCCCTTCCTTTTGCTACAAAACATCTACCTTTACATTTCTAACCCTCACAGACAATCCTGATAGCAATTATTCACTATTGTACCACAAGAGACCTATCCACATTTCCTTTCATCAGTATCACCCAGACAGATTGGATATTACTCAGTGGAGAGTCTACCTTCCTCTGTACCCCTTGGATCTAAGCTCCCTCTGGAAAGCTTGTAAAGCCAGTCAACTTCTTGCCTTTGTAACTCCCCCCCCCCACCCCATTTTGGGTAGCCAATGTCCAAGTTGCCCATCCCAGTCTACCCTGTGTGTTGAGGGGGTCAGAACTCCACTCTTGACCATTGTTGTTGTTGTTAAGTGTCATTGAATCAGTTCTGACTCAAATAAACCCTGTATAGGGTTTCCAAGGAGCAACAGGTGAGATTGAGCCACTGACCTGGCAGTTCAAACCGACATTGCAGTCCAGGGCATTAACCTGGAGCTCTATACCAGAACTTGACAGAGAAGGTAAAATTACTGGAGGAAATGTGAAAGTAAAACAGCTGAACAGAAAGCTTCAAAGGGCTGCTTGAGAAGACAGACTAAAATATTACAATGAATGTGCAAAGAACTGGAGTTAGAAAACCAAAAGGAAAGAACACACACAGCATTTGTCATGCTGAAAGAACTGAAGAAAATATTCAGTCCTCTTTTTGAAATATTTAAGGATTTTATGAACAAAATCCACCACTTGTCTGTTAGTTTGTCATACTGTGGTGGCTTGCATGTTACTAGAAACTATGCCATTAGTATATTAATAACATCAGAGTCATTCATGGTAGACAGGTTTTAGTGGAGCTTCCAGACTAAGAAAGTAAGAAGAAAGAGAGGTGCACTCTTTCTCAATGTTTAGCCATTGAAAACATTATTACTTTCAGCAGAACATTGTCAGCTGTAACACCAAAAGATAAAAGCATTATGAATAACATCAGAAAATTGTCAGATATAGTACTGTAAGATCAGTCCCTCAGGTTGAAAGATATTAAAAATATGACTGGGGAAGAGCTGCCTCATTGAAGTTGACCATGATGATGTGAATGAAGTAAAACTTTCAGGACCTTCATTTGCTAGTGGGGCACAATTCAAATTGAGGAGAAACAGCAGCAAACATCCATTAACAATTGGAAAATGGAATGTACTGATATGAATCTGGGAAAATTGGAAGTTGTCAAAAATGAAAAGGAACACATAAAGATTGATATCCTAGACATTAGTGAACTTACACAGACTGATATTAGTGGTTTTGAATCTGAGACACATATGGTTTATTATGCCGGGAGCAATACATTCAAGTGGATTAACATTGCATTCATCATCCAGAAGAACATTTCAAGATTTATCTTGAAGTACAATGCTGTTTGTGATAGGATAATATCCACATGCCTACAAGGAAGACCAATTAATACTACTATTATTCAAATTTACACACCAACCAATAAAGGCAGTGTTGATGAAACTGAAGAATTCTGCCAACTTCTTTAGTCTAAAATTGGTCAAATTTGCAATCAAGACATATTGATAATTACTGGTGATTGGATTGCAGAGGTTGGAAACAAAGAGAAAGATTTGGCAATTGGAAATTGTGGCCTGGTGATAGAAAAGA